AACAACAACAACAACAACAACAACAACAACAACAACAACAACAACAACAACAACAACAACAACAACAACAACAACAACAACAACAACAAAGAAAAAAACTAAAATCTTGCTGAATTTACTAACATTAGTCTAACAAGGTTGAGTCAGGTCCTCTGGGTAGATTCTTTGTTGAAACGTTTCGTCTTTTATCTGAAGAAGTATTTTGGATAAAAGACAAAACGTTTCAACAACAAATAATCCAGCCAGAGGACCTGACTCAACCTTGTCAGATTGATCTACCTGGATTATTGAGCATGCATCAGGGCATTAGTAACATTAGGTTTTAAGTTAATCATGGCAAAGTTGAAAATATAATCTTTTTTTTTTGGTTTGTTTGTTTTGGTACCTGAAATAATGAGCTGAAGATGCATTTGGCACAAAGAAACTGCGATTTCACATATAATGGTATAAAAGGTAAGGTCTGCATTTTACTGTAGGAAATAGATTAATGATTTAAACCCACATTGTAGCCATAAAGAAGCAGTCGTCTGTAATGCCACTTTGATGTGCTGCTGATTATCCATGCTGCTGATCTCATGCTGCTGTATTCGTTCGTACTCATCTACTCACAGACTTGTTCGTGCTGCTGTTTGGCATATTTTCTTCTTTTTTTTTTTTATTGTATTCTTACATCTTACAATTTATATTCTTCCTGTTGTTGGATGGATCTGGGACCCTGTGTACACAATTTCATTCCAACTCATGTACCACATGTGATGCGAACAGCAATAAAGGCCCTTGAATAATTACCAGGGAGCCTCGAACACATCACGGACATGCCACACAACTACAACTGTCAAACACACAAAGCAAAGGTTTGACATCCCAGAGACACGTTTATTATACAACAAAGTTGCTTAACAATCCACAGTGGTGATCATTGAATAAATGATAATTATACTGTTTGCATACAGACTTGTATTGTGCTGAGCTGTCAGTGTGACAGGCTGGAGCACAAATCACACAGGGTACATTCACACACACACATACATGCTGCAACTCCCACACAATAGTTTTGTATTGAAGGGCATGAACAGAACAGAGTTCTTCAAAATAAATGACTGAACAGATTGCATTATGGCCCACATCCATAACCCAGCAGGTTCATCAAAAGTTACATGTGCAAAGAGTTGTTGCATAACAAACTGTGACAAAAATAAGCAACAATTCAGACTGTGAACACTCTGGCCCTTGTCGGTCTTCATTTTCTGGATGACACACTTTAAACATGTAAACTAATTTGCTTAAGTGGGTAACCATGTACTCCATACGGACGTGTAAACCACAAGTTGTTCTACTAGTGCAGGAAAGAACGTTTTAGATGTGCACAGTTCCAACAGACATATATCACATAGGATGAAAAACAAACTGCTGCAATCATGCACACGCTCCTTATTCAGATGGCAAGAACTGTTCTGTCACAACCAAAAAACTAGTTAAAAATCCGTCTCACACACATTACTTTAAAGTTTCATTTATTGCTTTTCCAGCTAATTACATTAAATACAGAAAGAAAAGGGAAGAAGTTTAAGATAAGATTGAAGATGTCACTAAACAACAAGGTATGAAGCTATAATGTGTTGTTTGCTCATGAAAGTACAAAAGTAAACCTGGATGTGTGCGAATCAGTCCACAGACAGCCAACATTACTGATCTGTGTGAGAGATGGTGGTCTGGAAAGCGAAGGTGATGTGGCTTCGAGCGTGATCCAGGTAAGGGTCTGAGAAGGTGTGTGTGTCTCCAGAAAAGTGTCTCCACTGCATGAGCTCAGACATGCTCAGATGCTTCTGAGCTGCCTCCTTGCGGTCCCCTTGACGACCGAGCTGGCAAGGTCTGTGAGAAACCTGCTCCACCTCTTCCACCACCACTTCTGAGGAAGAAGAGAAAGTAAGGGAATGCACATGATGAGGCGGAAGCGTTTGCCTTTTCTACGAGCTCACCGCTGACAGAACCGTCCATGTTGCAGCCGCAGTTCAGCAGGTCGTGAGTCAAGCACGGAGTGTCTGTCAGGCTGAACAGATCTTGGAGTTCATTTGTGGAGAAACTTGTGTGCTCTGCTCCTTTCCCCAGGTCAACAACAGTCCCTGACAGGCCCTGTTTGGACACCTGCCTCTGAAATATCCGCTCCTCGAGGGTGCCTGAGTGGAAGCGATTACGACCCACATACTCAAATCGGTGACAACATGTTGAATTTTCTTGTGATTTTTTAT